TTTCTGTTGATAAATGAATAATGCACCCGACTCCTCCAGAGAATAAACAGGTATTTAAAAATTCAGAGTAAATGATAGTGTCTCATTCTGTTTCATGTGGTTTTTAAAGAAACAAACATACAAACAAACAAACCCAAATCCTTTTTTATATATAGAGAGAATTCTCATCTGACCCTTAAGAGGAAAATGAGAAAGGTGCGCAAGAGTCAATGGGACGCAGACTGAAGCTGGAGTCAGAAAAAGATGAATTATAGATGAAGAGGCATGTATTAAATATAACATTGAAATAAGTTAAAGAGGGCAAGGGAACCATGTTTTATACAGCAGTGGTCAGGATGGAGCCCCTCCAGCAGCGCCTTCAGAGGATATAGGGCAGGGACAGGGAACCTTTGGTCCTTCAGACGTTGTTGGTCTCCAACTCCCAGTAGCTCCAGCCAGCATGGCCAATGGACAGAGTTGATGGGAAGTGTAGTCCAGAAACATTCAGACTGAGATTGCTACAAGTTCTCCCAAGCACTAACGCTGGGTCTATTACATGGAATTTGCCTGTTTCCTTGGGGATCCTGCCGTGCTGGACCTGCTATTAAAGGCTGCAATGAGGCCAGGCAGAAACAAAAGAACCTCTTGCAAACTAAGAGGAACTATCCCAGAACCACACTGAAAGAAAATCTTAAGTAAAGCCATGTCTGCAAGACAAGATCACAGTCCTCCTACCTTCATTGGAATGAAAATGTCCTGTTTCAAAATTAAAATGAGGACAGAGTTTATTGCATTTTTAGGGATATTTCTGTGATCCACCTAGGGGCCACCTGAATTGGAAAGAGAATAAAACGAATGAATAAACAAGTACGTTTAAGTAAGAATAACAGATCCTGGGATCTGGAAGGCATGTGTTTCAGGAATCCCTGAATACTGGCAGCAGTCTCAGGTATCTGCTACCCACCTCTGCCTTTTGGAATGGTTATGGAGCTGTCTTGTAAAAATGGTGTTAGAGTGAGCTTTGAGCCTCTTCCTTGAAATCTCTGCATGGCCAAAAGCTACTGGGGGATGCATTTTGTCTCTACATGCATAGCATAAGGACTCATCCATACTTGCCTTTGCTCTGCACTTTCTAGGCACAGATCTAGGCTCTCTAGGTCTGTGTCCAAGTGGACACAGTGCCCCCCCCCCGTGCTTTCCCCAGGGAAACCCAGGTTTTATTGCTGAAACGGAGCAAATGGCAATCCACAGGAAACCTGGTTGCCACTTGCTCTGATTCAGTGGTAACAAATGGGTTTTCCCAGCGAAAGCACCAGAACAAACAAAAACCTACTCCAATTTGGACCTGGAAAACCTGGATCCGTGTGGCAAAAAAGGAAGTGCTGATGAGCCCCAATTGTATACACATATAACCACTATGGTATCTTGCAACCACTACCATGAAGTGCATAGCATCACACAAAACAACTGGTGATGTTCTGAATTGCTGTTTACAGGAGACAATTAATGTTTTGTTCTTTTTCTCCCAGTATAACTTCAACCTAAGAACCCTTTTCTTTTTTTGAGGACAAAACTATTCTAAATGAAAATAGTGCATTCAACAATGGAAACGAGCCTCCAACCCTCTTGAATAGGTAAGAATCAGAGCAGGAGTGTTCAAAGTATGATCCTATTTTTACCTCTGAAACAGTGCAGGATCTGGGGGAAAGCATAGCAGGCAACACACATGGGGTCATGTAATGCAGCATAACAATTCTTTCATGCCCTTTAAGAATTCCATCATGCTTTGGAACCAGTCTTGCAGACGTGGTATGCGCACTCTCTCCACCCCTTCACCCCAGCCATTAAACGGGAGGGGGTGGAATACCGAACACTGCCAGACCCATGACAAACCTCTGTGGAATTTCACTCCTTATCTCCTCCTACCCGGAGAGCAATCCATTAACTGGTACTCCTTGAGTGCTCCTTTTCAGCCATTTGTACACCTAATCTATTCCACCACCTTTTAACCTGCATTTCTCCAGCTGACATATGGGAATGTCATGTTCAGGATATTGCTGTCAAAAGCCAAAAAGCTCACTTGTTTTGCATTTCCATCAACCAGTGGGCCCTATAAATAGCATTATCTTGACCTGCTCTGAGCAAGAAATGGAGAGCCAAAGTGTGCTGGAAGCAAGTCGAGAGTAGGCTGGGGAAACAAGAAAGGCTGTCAAGCACTCCTCAGGCTGCAGAATGCAGTTGGAGGCTGCAGCTCGGCTTGGTGGGTCAAAGATGTGCCTTAGCAAATGCAGACTGCAACCCTAGCACCCCAATGCTGGGGTGGGTGGGTGGAAAGCCTACCAGGTTCTGACAGATTATTCAGAGCCTGATATGTGTATTCATAGAGTTTTAGAATTGGAAGGGACCTCCGAGGGTCAACTAGTCCAACCCTCTGCAATGCAGGAATCTCAACATGTGGTCCTGCATCCTGTTTGAAACCATACCTGACCATGCTTACCTTTGCAAAGGAGCTAGCAGTTTCATTGCTGCACCACTCAGATGCAAGGCTGACAGGGTTCAATGGGACTGACAACCTATTTTATAGCCTAAATAGTAAGCATACTTACTGGGGTAAGCCCATCAACTGACCTTATGCCTGAGTAAATTTGAATTGAATCCAGAGACTAGATATATTTAGCACCATTTTAAAACACACACACAGCAACCAGCCAGTCACTTGAAAAATACCTCCAGGGCTGGCACACCTAGGCTGCCACACTTTGGGAAGGCCAACTAGGGCTGAAGAATGACCTGGAGCTGCTGCTGGGCAGAGGGCTCTACATTGAGTGAGTAGGCAGGTGAGGGATGGTGGCTATTCCTTGGGTTTGGGAGAGTGTGATGGTGGCAAGGAGCTGCGCTGGCCTCTACTTGCCAAGCTTGCTGGATGTGTGAAGGATTTGGTCTACAAACATCTCACCTGCTCAGTCACCAACAGGGACATACATAGGGGTTGGTTAGGTTGGCCCCCGCCCAAGGTGCAAGGCCAAGAGGGCACAAAAATCATGCTCCTCTACTCTGGCTTGGAATGGCTAGGAGAGAAAGTAGCAAATGGAAGGAGGCACAGAGGCAGACAGAGGAACCAACGGGGGAGGAGAAGGGAAGGCAGAGTAGACCCGAACTTCCGACCCCCCGCATAACCATAGAGGAAGTCGCTGGTGGAGAGCAAAAAGCGATGAAAATAAAATATTTTGAATTTCTGGTCCATGGTCTCTCCTGGCTTCAGAAGCTCCAAGACAGCTCCTTGCCAAGGGCACAAGGAAGCCTAGGTATGCCTCTGGCACCAACATGGTTGCATCAGCAGGGGAGGCAGCAGCCAAAGCCGTCTCTTCCGTTTGGGGAAGCTTCAGGATCCAATGCCAACTGTAGCTCCACCCAAAGAGAGAGAGAGAGAGACAAATGAAGGCAGCAGCCCCTTGTCTCCCCTCCACTGCTTGTTGCCTGCTTGGGTGAGCAAAGGAGCTGCTACTTCCAATCGCTAGCCCTCTGACAAGGTGGGTCCAGCCCCAGCCTGCAGCTCCACTGCAGTGTCACCCACTCTGGCAAGTGAGTGGCGGGCAGAGCTCCCAGGGCAGCAGGTGCTACTTCAGGCCCCAATCCCAGTCGCTGTGCTGGCCAATGGGACACCTCTGATGCTCACTCACAGTTGCAGACTCTGGGCTTTAAAATTTCAACAGCGCCCTGGGCAACACCAAAATGCCTCCCCCGGCCTTCTTCTGTTTTAAGCCATTGTTGCAGCACCCTCTTGGCTCAGTGCCCAACCAACCGGTTTTGCTCTCCCAAATCCACCTCTGCCATTCACAGCAAGCTATGGAGGAGGCTTCAGGACCAGCCTAGTGGGCCCTTTGGGTCGGTGCAGCAGGAAGGATGTGAGGGGCAACCACCCAACACACTCCAGGTGTCAAATGTGGGGGCTCAGACCCCTAACAAATGTGACATGAAGGCTGGCAACATCAACCCTGCTGTGTGGGCATCCCTTGCAGAAAACCGCAGTGCCTGGAGACAGACAGGTTGTGCGTCCACAGCAGTGACCAGAGGGGGAATGGCCGCTGGGAGGAGCGCAGGGAGAAGAAAAGCCATGGTGTGTCTGCAGCAGCACAACTGGACGCCTTCATTGCCCCGGCTGCAACAAAACATCTCTCTCCAGTATCGGTCTCTACAGTCACAGCAGATGTTGTAACTCTCCGCCAATTTGACTTCACCCCCAAAGGCACACTCTTCCATTGTCTCTTGAGACAGACGGATGCCAATAACAAAAGACCCCAAACTTTTAGTATCTGAGTCACAGAACTGCAGAGTTGGAAGAGACTCAGGTCATTTGAGTCCCAACCCTGACTCTACCTCCTTGCTGTACTCAAACTATGGAAGAAGTCTGAGCAAAGCAGGGATGGGAGGACATTCGAGAAGCTGTTCTTATGTAAATATAAACCAAACCAGTTTTAACAAGGAGAAGTAGCAGAGAGGGGTCTCACACAGCGACTAACAACAAAAAGCTAATACAACAGAGCCTTTCCCAACTCCTTCCTGGCTGCACTCAGGTTTTGTTTTAACCTGCCATTTCCCGCCCCCCATGTCGCCATCCGAGGCGAAGGGCACTCTGCACGCGCTCAGAGGAGCTGAATGTCCCCCCCCCCTGTAGGTAGGCAGGTAAGAGTGGGAAACAAACAGGGAAAGGAAAACAGCGTATGTTAAGGCAAGACTAGAGCTGGCTGAAAACAGCTGCCTGAGCGGGCGCCCGTGCGCCTCACCCCGCCGCCCGACCAGCCATTCTGCACAACGGCAGCCTCAGCGCCCGCCGCCCGGCCCGCGGAGCCGGAGCCACTGGCCCGCTCGCCCGGCTGCCCGTCGCCGCGCTGGCCCCGCCCTCGGCCCCGCCCCCGCGCCGCCGGCCAATCCGTCTCGGCGGAGGGGGAGGGCGATGCAGGCTTTGCGCCCGCCCTCCCTGTGGGCTTATTGAGAGTTATATCAAGAAACCCAGTTCGGAGCGAGCGAGGAAGGGGAGAGCGAGCGAAGGAGGGAGCGCGCGCCGGAGACGGGAGGAGAAGCAGCCTGCGCCGCCCGCCTTGCCTTGCCTCCGCGGCCGAGCAACAGCCCGCTCCGGGTCCGCGCGCCGGGGCAGCCCCCCAGCCTCGCCCCCGGCCAGGAGGTCCCGGGCAAGGCGAGGGCTCTGCGGACAGAAGTTGCGCGCTCAGTTTGCTGGCGGCGCGGAAGGCGAGCGCAGCGCCAGGCGCGGGCACCGGGCGGCCGGGCGGCAGAGCGGGGCATGCCCTGATCCGGAGGAGAAGCGCGCTCAGCGCCGGGCTGCGGGGCCGCCTTGGCCGGGGCTGGGGAGCCGGCGGTGTCGCCTGCGCCGCCGCGAGAGGGATCGGCATCGCTTTGATCAGCATCCTCCTCGTCATCCTCGGAGTGAGGAGGAAGAGCAAGTAAATAAGGGAGGGGCAGAGCGGGAGACGAGGTGGAGGGAGGACGAGAGAGACGCGCCGAGAGAAGCATGGCGAACCCGGACGGAACTGTGAATTTGTTCTCTGGAGTTGTGAATTTGCCACCGAGGAACAACACCTCTGCTCTGGAGGAGGAAGCGCCCGCCTGGCCGGCTGCTTGCTGATTCCCCTTCCACCTCTCCTCTCCCTCCAAAAAAGACGAATTTGGTGGCTACCTGGGTGCCCGATGCCTTGTGCGGGGCTTCCTCTGCGTCTTGGTCCTGGGAGATCGGATCCTTCCTCGGCTGCTGCTGCTGCAGTTCATCGGCACACGAAAAAGCGGCTACGTAAGTGCAAAGTTCCATATGCTTCTCTCTCTTTTTGGGAAGGGAGGCATTTTTTTTAAAAATGATTTTAATGTATATTCCGACGGGAGGGGGGGAATCTCCGCGTTGCTTTGGGCTCGAGTTTGCTGGCTCTGCAGCCCCTACCTGCCTGCATCAGTGTAATGGAAAGGATCACGGATATCAACGCGTAGCTTTTAATGCAGATGTCAGATCAGTGCTTCTGACCAAACTCTCCCCGCCTCCCCCTCCCCCAATCTTATAAGGACGCCTGGAGCTTTATTTGCTCCCATAAGGGCATCTGAGCAGAAGTCTCTCTCTCTCTCTCTCTTTCTTAAGCAGCACTATTAGACTGCAGTATTTATGTGTGGCAGCTGCTGCTAATAACACATCCGGAGGGGCAGCCGAGTGTCACTGACTGCATCACCCCCCCCCCCCATACAACCCTCGTAACAAAAAACAAACCAACCCCCAACAGCATCTTTCTGCATTTTCTTTGTAAACATCTGGCTTGCTGCTTCTGAGTTGGTTCAAGGCTGCCTCCTCCCCAAATCTTCTGTTTATGTTGAAGTTGAACCTTCTCCGGCAGATGCAAGTCACATACACTGGCACACTGGAACATCTGGAAAAGGTGACATTTTGGTTGGCTCTGGGGAAGAAACTAGAGGTCCTGTTATTGTCTTCCTTAGTTAATAGAGATGGGAAGTAGCCAGAGAGCTACTGCAGAAGCAGCAGTGTGAGCAGTTTGTCTGAATCGTTAAGAGATCCTAGACCATCTTACAGCACTAGCCTAGGATAAAACACACAAGCAAGAGGAAGGGGAGGAAAATGTAGCTGGGTAATTTAATTGGGAGAAGGCAGGATGCATGATGCTTTAAATTGCAGTGGGCATACAATTCATGCTATGCATTTTTTAAAAAAGAACTTCCACTAAATTTTGGCGTGGAAGGAGAAAGCATTGCATGGTATGCTCAGTTCAATGGACTGATTTGAACAAACATGTGTATGTGTGTGTGTATGAGAGAGAAGAAAACGGCTTCTCTCCCATCAATCTTGTAACTAGTTAATTTCATTCTGAATGTGTGGTATACTGGCACATTCATGGAGAGGAACTGCTTGCACACACAAACGAAAGGAAGGGAGAAAAGCAGGTGCCGGGTGTTTGTAAGTGTGTTGCAGAAACGTGGAGCAGGGCTTGGCAGTTGCATCTGGTGTCAGTTAAAATGAGTCAATAACACTTCTTTTTTATTGTTGTTGTTGTTGTGATTGTGTTGACAGTGGCTGTCTGGAAGCAAGAGCTCTGATGTGATGCATCCTGCAGTCCTCCCCTTGCGAACGAGGCAGCAGCATTCCATCCTGGAAACCTTGAAACCCTGAGAAGGAGCTATAAACACATTATCATGGACCTGAGGGATTTTTACCTGTTGGCTGCCCTGATTGCCTGTTTAAGGCTGGATTCTGCTGTGGCTCAAGAACTTATTTACACCATCCGAGAGGAGCTACCGGAAAACGTCCCCATCGGGAACATACCAAAGGATCTGAACATTTCTCACATCAATGCTGCCACAGGAACCAGCGCTAGTCTTGTCTACAGACTGGTCTCCAAAGCAGGGGATGCCCCTTTGGTGAAAGTGTCCAGCACCACAGGGGAGATCTTTACCACCTCCAACAGAATCGACAGAGAGAGACTCTGTGCAGGCGCTGCCTATGCTGAAGAGAATGAGTGCTTCTTTGAGCTGGAGGTGGTGATTCTCCCAAACGACTTCTTTCGGCTGATCAAGATCAAAATAATTGTGAAGGATACCAATGACAATGCCCCCATGTTTCCTTCCCCTGTCATCAACATCTCCATACCTGAAAACACTCTGATCAACAGCCGCTTTCCGATCCCGTCAGCCACAGACCCTGACACTGGTTTCAATGGGGTGCAGCACTATGAACTTTTGAATGGGCAAAGTGTCTTTGGGCTGGATATCGTGGAAACTCCAGAAGGGGAGAAGTGGCCTCAGCTGATTGTGCAGCAGAACTTGGACAGGGAGCACAAAGATACCTATGTCATGAAAATCAAAGTCGAGGATGGAGGAACCCCCCAGAAATCCAGCACAGCTATCCTCCAGGTCACAGTAAGTGATGTCAATGACAACAGGCCGGTTTTTAAAGAGAGTCAGGTGGAGGTTCACATACCAGAGAATGCCCCTGTAGGTACCTCGGTCATTCAGCTGCATGCCACAGACGCAGATATAGGAAGCAATGCGGAAATCAGATATATTTTTGGTGCCCAGGTTGCTCCTGCAACTAAAAGACTCTTTGCTTTAAACAACACAACTGGGCTGGTGACAGTTCAGAGGGCCTTAGACCGAGAGGAAACTGCCATCCACAAGGTGACGGTGCTGGCCAGTGATGGTAGCTCTACACCTGCCCGGGCAACTGTTTCCATCAATGTGACTGATGTTAACGATAACCCCCCTAACATAGACCTCAGGTACATTATAAGTCCCATCAATGGCACAGTGTACTTATCTGAGAAAGACCCCATCAATACCAAGATTGCCCTAATTACGGTCTCAGATAAGGATACTGATGTGAATGGCAAAGTGATCTGTTTCATTGAGAGAGAAGTGCCATTCCACTTGAAGGCTGTTTATGACAACCAGTACTTGTTAGAGACCTCTTCCTTGCTGGACTATGAGGGCACCAAAGAATTCAGCTTTAAAATAGTTGCCTCCGATTCTGGCAAGCCCAGTTTGAACCAGACCGCCCTAGTAAGAGTTAAGCTGGAAGATGAAAATGACAACCCTCCAATTTTCAGCCAGCCTGTAATTGAGCTGTCCGTTTCCGAAAACAACCGCCGTGGTCTGTACTTAACAACTATTAGTGCCACAGATGAGGACAGTGGGAAAAATGCAGACATTGTTTATCAGCTTGGCCCCAACGCCTCCTTTTTTGATTTGGATCGAAAGACAGGGGTTTTGACAGCTTCCCGAGTCTTTGACAGAGAAGAGCAGGAGAGGTTCATTTTTACTGTTACGGCCCGAGACAATGGCACCCCTCCCCTGCAAAGTCAAGCTGCTGTAATCGTTACAGTATTGGACGAGAATGACAACAGTCCCAAATTTACTCATAACCATTTTCAATTTTTTGTGTCGGAGAACTTACCAAAGTATAGCACCGTAGGAGTGATCACAGTGACTGATGCAGATGCAGGAGAAAATAAAGCTGTCACTCTCTCCATCCTGAACGACAATGAGAACTTTGTTCTGGATCCTTACTCTGGAGTTATAAAGTCCAACGTTTCTTTTGACCGAGAGCAGCAGAGTTCCTACACCTTTGACGTCAAGGCCATCGATGGAGGACAACCGCCTCGTTCTTCTACCGCAAAAGTCACTATAAATGTCATGGATGTTAATGACAACAGCCCTGTGGTTATCTACCCACCTTCAAATACTTCTTTCAAACTGGTGCCTCTCTCTGCTATCCCTGGCTCTGTTGTGGCTGAAGTGTTTGCTGTTGACATTGACACGGGAATGAACGCTGAGCTGAAATATACAATCGTAAGTGGAAACAACAAAGGTTTGTTCCGTATTGATCCGGTGACGGGTAACATTACCCTGGAAGAAAAACCTACTCCTACTGATGTAGGGCTGCATCGATTAGTGGTCAATATCAGTGACCTGGGTTATCCTAAATCTCTGCATACCCTTGTCCTTGTGTTTCTGTACGTCAATGACACGGCTGGAAATGCCTCTTATATTTATGACTTGATTCGCAGGACTATGGAAACACCTTTGGACAGGAACATTGGGGACAGCAGCCAGCCTTATCAAAACGAGGACTACCTTACCATCATGATTGCTATTGTGGCAGGTGCCATGGTGGTCATTGTGGTGATCTTTGTCACTGTTCTGGTCCGCTGCCGCCACGCCTCCCGCTTCAAAGCTGCCCAAAGGAGCAAGCAAGGGGCAGAGTGGATGTCTCCCAATCAGGAGAACAAACAGAACAAGAAAAAGAAGCGGAAGAAAAGGAAGTCTCCCAAGAGTTCTCTGTTGAATTTTGTTACCATTGAGGAATCCAAACCGGAGGATGCCGTTCATGAACCTATCAACGGGACCATTAGCCTTCCAGCTGAGCTGGAGGAGCAAAGTATAGGAAGATTTGACTGGGGCACGGCCCCACCCACCACCTTTAAGCCTAACAGCCCTGATCTTGCTAAGCATTACAAATCTGCCTCTCCACAGTCCGCTTTCCATCTTAAGCCTGACACTCCCGTCTCGGTGAAAAAGCACCACGTGATTCAGGAACTCCCTTTGGACAACACCTTTGTTGGGGGTTGTGATACCCTTTCCAAACGCTCTTCCACTAGTTCAGATCACTTCAGTGCCTCAGAGTGCAGTTCCCAAGGAGGCTTCAAGACAAAGGGCCCCTTGCACACCAGACAGGTAAACGAGCACTTTTACTGGTCTATAAGTACTGCATACAAGTGCCCACTCAACCAGTACTAAAGTGCCAGGATATATTTTCTTTCACTGTAATTTTAGCTTAGTTATAATATGCATAGAGCAAAGCGGGGGAAATACCTGTCCCTTTAGTATCTCTCTGGGGCAGGACTATGCATTTTTAGAATGAATATGATGGTCCAAAGTTGTAAGTTGCCAACTTTTTTTGTTTTAGAAAGAATGACATGCACACACTCACGTACAAGTTCATTCATGCATTCACACGGACACCTACCTACCTAGTCAGAGGTTAAAGGCAATTGTGTGAAGTTTGTCAAGAACATCTTAGTATAGAGGTTTACTGAAGAAGAAAACATATTTTTCAGTCTGCCAATTTCAACTCAAAGGGAAAAATATATATCTACATATATATTGAACGTTTCAGGATTAAATGTGTTAGCTTCTGATAAAAGAAAAGTTGGTTACACACGAGGCTGGCTTAAGTTTCTTTTGTTTTTGTTTATTTCAAACTGATTTGGAACATTTGTAAGTTATTGTCGTTCAGGGGGTTAATTTTTGTCCTCACAAAGGCTCAAAGATTGTGTTGCACTGTGTTTGTTTGGCAGGCTATAACTAAGCTATCAGGAAGTCTTCCTCTGTTTTGAATTACAACGATTTTTGTTGTACAGTAGTAAAGTTGTGTCTGTTAGACAAGAGGATTTTTGTTTTGTTTGTGTTTTTTTATAAAAAAAATGGCCAAAGTACACTTTCAGAAAGAATGCATTTTGCTTTGAATAAAACATGAATTATGCAGAGAGAGAAATCACTCCATTGTAAATATGTTCTCATACTATAGTGCATAAGTGATCTGTCATTACTCGTTTTTAAGCTGTGAAACATGCCATATGAAAAAAGGATTAGGATGTTAGGAAAATTCGTATTTCAACCAAATCCAGCATTAGGGTTTTTTGGGGGGTGGGGTGGGGGCATTGTTTCTTAGGTCAAATAATTCCTTGCTAATAAAGATTTAAATGTGGTGCTGTCTAATTCATTTCACTGGTGCTTGTCTTTTGCCACTAAATTAGAATGTCAGGATCGGCCTGTAGATGGCACTAAGGTACTATGTGGCTTGGGGCTGGCTAGCTGCCAGTCCTGCAGCAGATAAGAAATGGGGGAGGGAAGGTTCAAACTGGTACTAAAGCCAAAGAAACCTTTTATTTAATGACAGTCGCACTGAAGCGACCGGTAGTTAAGCTAGCGTGTTTTGCAGTGGCTCCTTAGCGCTTAGTTTTCATTGCATCAATTGTCTAAGGCTTTAGCTGTCAAGCACATATCGCTGTTGGCATTATATTCTCTTGTGTTTTGGTGGATTGTTTGGGCTGATCACAGGGGCCATAGTCAAGAGAACAGGGCAAGATACTTTTTAATAGGTTTGTGCCAGGAGAGGTGAATGGTGACCATTCTTTAGCTTGAGTCATTTCCCCAGCTGTATGTTATGCTTCTCAAAATTGCATCTTGACTTTTGGACGTATCTTGGATAACAAGGCACTGTATTTAAAGCCCACACTTAGGAAGTATCTTGTTGAAGTAATGGTCCCCAGAACACTCAATAAATCCCTTAAAAGACATTTGAGGGGGAAATCTTCACACAGATATCTCCTTCAGAAGTATTTCACAGCATCTTAGGCTCCTAAAATAACACCCACAGTCATTTATGCACTTCCCTCCAGATAACAACAACAACAGAATCATGAAACTCACCAACCATTAAACCTCTGGATATCAGTAGAACTTCAGATTAGATTGTCCTCTCCCCCTCTTTATCATCTTTTATTTTTGTTACTCAGATTTCTCACATTATTTTGATGTTAAGCGCTTCTGTTCCACTTTAGTTTTCATTTCCTGGGCTCTGTTACAAGAATGAGTCTTAACTTCTTTGAGGAGTCAAATGGAGATTAAGATCACAAATCCAAACCGATTTACCTGGCAGAGCATGTAAGCACCACCCAAGAGACTCAAGGATTCAGGATGAGGGAAAATTAAACACAAAGTGTTCCTCTGTATCTTCTTTATTATTGTAAAAAAAAAGGAGAGAGGATAAACACTTGACTTACAGTTTTAATTGCATCACAACTGTAAATGTGGATTTGCTATTTTTAATGATGCATAATTGGATTGTGATGAGGGATGGATAAGATCCAAAGTGATTCAGACAGCACCTTCTTTCACTGGTAGATCAGCAAGCTTTCAAATGGTACAGAACTCTTGCCTTATCAATAAATACAGTCCAAAATAAGGGTGCTCTCTTAAGCTAGTGGGATCCTCGATGTTCATTGTCAGCAGCAACTAGGCAACCTTCATTTTAACCAATGGAAAGGTGACCATACGGTTTGAGGTGGCGATACTGCCCAGTGAGTAGTTTAAATGGATGTTGGTTTACATGTCAAGGCTTGATATGAACGCTAGATTCTCCGTTTCATAAAAGTTCTGTGCTGATACGCGATTATAACCATCAGTATCGGGCTATAGATCCAAAACTGGTACACTGTTACTGTGGTTTTCATTGAGTGTTGCAATTCATGGTGCAAATCTCAACAGATAGTTTTGTTTTCAAAAGGTTTTGCTCAGGCCATTCATCAGTTTATGGTTAGTAGTCCTAAAATACTGGCAAATAGCACAGTCCCCTTGAAGTGCACAAACCCCATTGAAATGAATGAAGAAGCTATTGCATAGCTCCTGTTTTAGTTCAATGGTGTTTCCGTAGGAGAACCTGGCATGTTTTATACATTGTTATCAGGAGAAGAACGTCTTGGGTTGTTGGAGGGCAGCAGTAAGTGTCTTACTGCTTCATTATTATTCTTGATAGTTTCTATTTTGGTCATTAGGTGGCTAAATATGGGGTGTAGCACCATAGAAGAGTCTCTCAACCAAACTCTTCAGAAGTGGAAACTATAGAAGAAAACGGCTGCACTCTTGTGTGGATCAGGTTTATTTCATTCAGACTGTGCAGGAGAATTCACCACCATAGATTGTGCTGCATCTTTGCACCCACCTTGAAGTGAGCTGTATAATAAAAAAACGGAGCAGTCCCAAAATCGGCTGTCATTTTCCCACAGTTGCTCTGATAGGAATATGCAAGAACACACCCTTTGCCTGGGTTAAGCTCAATAACGTAGCCCTGATTTAAGTAACCAGTCTGAGTATAGCTAAAGACTAGAAGACAATGCTGTTTGTTTTGCTCTGAAGAACCTAACATTTGAAAATCATCCTTATTGTGAAGGGGGAATATTTGTTTAGTACTGTTGGGTTTTATATTTTTTACCCCACATTCCTTTAAAGAAGTCTTGCCTTGAAGCAGGCAATGTTCAGGTTGTTAGTGATTCCACCTGAGCCTTGGTCTATTGGATTGTTGTAAACGAAAACATTTAAAAGAAAAGACCAGCCTAGAATCCTAGATGACATTGATTAATTTGAGGTAATGGACTGATCCTAAGATTTGCAAGACTAGCAAATAAATACTCAGGATAAAGAATATTTAACAATTAAACTTCGTGAGCTGTGATGTTATATTATAATTTATTATTATTTTATTAGAATATTATTCTGAATTCCTTAACAGAAATGTCAACAAAGGTATTTAGAACTGGTATACCAATAATGTTAAATGCAAGTGTGTAAGTTTAAGAGCAGAACCTGTGGCCCTCCAGAGGCATGGGAGCTGCAAAGAATTCTGTTGTCATAAAGGAGAAGATGAATGCTTTGATTAGAACAGGTCCTGAAAGATAGGAATTGCCGCTTAAGATGAAGCCGCACCAATTGGACACATTGGCTTTGGGGAAGAGATCAGAAGCATTTCCTTCCATTTCCATCTTAAGCACAGTTTGTCAAGAACTGTTGTTAAGTTTTATGTAAATTCTGCAAGCTTTTCAGACTGGATAAGGCTAATCTGAACACTCTGATTTTAGTCCCATGGAAAGGCAAAACCATCTTACAGTGCCTCAAATGGAATATTTCCCTTGATTTACGGCTCATGGGCAGTTGAGTGCAAATCCCGCAGGTTGCAAAGCAAGGATTCCAGTACGGAGCGACAATGATTAGGAACTGTATTAATTAGTCTTCATCATGTTTATTGGCACTGGGCCAACTGAGTACTTGAGCAATGTTGTCTCTCATAAAATATGATGGGGTGCATATATATATATATATATATATATATGATAGAACCTTAAATAATTGTAGAGGAAACTATAAAATGAATATAGGGCTCCCTTAAGCAATGCAGAAAACTCCTGACAAGAAGCTAGTGCTGTAGTTAACTAAGCTAAGAAGGCACAATCCCCTCCCAGGTGGCTTGTTGTACTGTGATTTATTTCCTTATATTTACTATAAGAGCTGATAAACACCACCAAAACCTTTGTTAAGCATTCTCATAAAACTAAGATTGTAGGCAGAAAGAACAGTTGTGGAAAACCACAGTGGAACCGCATTGTGTAAAGAAGCAGGCCCACACGTTCTGTCAATCAAAACATTTTGGTTTCATGATTTTGCCTATTTGCTTATTTTATTTGTTTAGCAAAAGTTACATACCACTTGATTGTTGTAAAACCTCTCAAGCAGATTACATGGAATAATAAAATTTACAGTAAAAAAAACAAACAAAAAAATTAAAGAATGGAATTTTTTTAAAAAAAGATTAAAGCATTTCAACATGTCTGGATAGACAGGCTTGCCTAAACTAAAATTGTTTAAGTCAGGGCCCAAAAAAATCATACAGCAAAGGCGCCTGCGTGACTCGCATAGGCAGGACGTCCCAAGGTTGTCGGTGTTGCCACACTAAAAGGCTGATGTCTTACAGCCGTGGAACAACCATTATGTGGCAGCCATAACTGTTCCAGTTCCACAGTGTTTAGTGAAGAATGGCAAAAATATGTTCTTGCATTATGTTGCTGGTGTGTGTGCATAAGACTAGGGCAATGTACTGCATTTTCAGTCTTGCCACAGTT